AATATTTATAACGGGGAAATGCAAATAGCTCTTCTTCATGCTGTTGTTGTTGTTGTTGATTTCTCAAGTTGCTATTGTTGTTGTTTGTTGTTGTTGTAGCTAGTATAGTTTGTTGTTTCTCTCATTTTGATGCGCGCAAAGAAAATATGTTGTTGGTGAGGGGCGTGTGGGGCGGGGCATTTACGACCAATTGAAAATATTGATATACTAAGTGAATAATGGAAGTCAGGATTCCGTTAGATTGATTGATTGTGTGATTATCGTTCAACACTTGAATGTCAAAACCATTTTCATTTATTTTCTTTTAACTAATACTCTCCATAAATACACACATTTTATTTCCCGTCCTCCACTTCTTCATCTATACAAAAGGTCAATTAAAAAAAAAAAAAAAGATTTAAACAAAAGCTGCAAAAATGCTCGGCCAGTTGGCCTGCATCCATATATCAATTGAATTGGTAGTTGGCTATTGGGGAGTGGTAAATGGCGCGCTGCGTCGAATTTCATGGTGGTTAGATTGGCTTGGGATATAGGATATAGATAGTTCCATGTGTGGGGCGTGGCGAGCGCTTTACATGTTCTCAAACTGATCGACGCGACGCTTTGTGTTGCCCTTGCGGATCTCGCGCAACGTCTTGTACTTGTCGCGTCCCTGGCGCACATTTTCGCGATGAATCTTATCGTTGGCCGTCTCTTTCGTTTCGTCGCGTGACTGCGCCAGGTCTTGCTTCAGGGCCTGCAAATAAGCGAGAGAGCGAGAGAGAGTTCGAATTAGAAAGAGAAGGGGATAGATAGAGAGCACACAAGCAAATATATGATATATGATGTATAAGAAAATAACTCGACTCTTTATGTTGAATCACGACTATTTAAATATTTCGTTAACTACAATTTTAGAATATATAACTATTTGGAACTCACATAAATGTTTATCTATGACTTGGTAAACTATGAAACATAACTAAAAGTCTTCAGTATATAGGCTAACAATCTTGATATATATCTCAATTTCTACAAATATACATGATATTATATGTAGATGTAGAAATGTGTTTTAACGTTATCTACCCTTTACACCTTCTGTATTAAACACATATGGAACATTTGACAACAAAATATTTGCTTTACACATAATATGTAGAATGCAATGGAAGCTTTTTCAACTAGGTACATTCTGCTACATTCTTGAAATTCTTATCTATATCATCTAACATATGAAGAGCATACTCAATGTTTTTCTTTATGTTGTCTGTTGTTGGTTTTGCCACATAAGCCGAAAGCTTTTTGTCATGCCAATTATACAAAAAATGGTTGCTACAAAATAACTACATTGTCTGATAAGATAGATAAACAAAGTGCTTACTGCGCCCACATAAACAAAACAAAACCAAAGAAAATACAAAGAAAAAAAACCCAAGCCTGTTATCTGCATATTTTAAGAAAGCTATCTAAGGAGGTTATCTCTATTGGGGTGCGTAGCATATTCGCTCTATCTCTAATGTTTGCACGCACCTTAAGCTGATCGTGCAAGCGCTCGTTGCGCTCGGCCAGCGTGCGTCTGTCCTCGATGGGATCCTTGATATGCTCGTCTGTGTCCAGGTCGCGCGACACATCGCCGCCGGCATCGCCATTCGTCAGCTCCTCCTCGTTCTCGTTCTCATCCTCGGCCACGTGATGGTGTTGCGGCGTGGTGGATGCCGCCAACAGCGCAGCAGCAGCTTCGGCCTGGAAGATTACATAGATAAAAAGATAAATAATGCCAATGGAAATGGGGGTATAGACTGAATTAACCTGCTTGCGGCGTGCCTCCTCGACCTCGTCTTGCAGGCGCTTGGTCTCTTCGTCCTTGGCATTGACTTCGTCCTGAATGCGTTGCACCTCCTGTTGCTTGGCCATGATCTCCTCCTCCAGCTTGGCCTTCTCGACGGCCTCCATGTTCTTGGCCTCCTCCAAGCGCTGCAGCATCGATTGCAGCTCCTTCTGGCGCAGCTCCAGCTCATCCTTGGCGGCCTGCAGCTGCTTCAGCTGCTCCTCCAATCGTCGTATCATCTCCTGTGCCTCAAGCAGATCACGCTGCGAGCGCTCCATCTCCTCTTGCATTTGCTTGAGTCGATCCTCATACTCCTGCTGCTTCTTCTCGGCACGCTCACGTGCTGCCAGCGCCAGCTGCAGCTTCTCACTGTGGAGGAATTTATCCGATATTAGAGAACAGACTTTGGAAAAGTAAAGCTGATCAGACTTACCGCTCCTGCTGTTTGGCATTCTTCTCTTCGCGCGCCTGGGCCTTCATTTGCTGCACATCGATCGTGTCGGGCTTGCGACGACGCATGTAGAGCTCATGGTTGCCCATGCAGAGGGCCAGGATGCGCTTGTTGATGCGAACGCGCGGCGCAAAGAACATAAAGTCCGGCGCCTTCTTGTCAATGGGCTTGATGATGAACTTCTTCTCAGAGAACGAAATGTTACGGATCTCGGACCAGGGGAAGCCGATTTTGGGCGTTAGTCGATCGTCCTGCTCGTAAATGTTCAGGCCGAGCGCATCGACGCCCAACCAGAGGTCGGTGCCCTTCTTGTTGCGTATCTCGAAATAGTTGACGCCATACATTTCCAGATCCTGGGCAATCTTCAGATACTCCATCATGGCATCCTCGCGCAGCATGCTGCGATGCTCCTGCCACCAGGTCATTATCGACTGCTCCCATTCGTCCTTGGACATCTTGTGCTGATCGATGACGCGCTGTGGCAACAGGCGATCGTTCGCTAGGAAACCGGCTGTGTGAGTGGTCTTATTGTGATCGCCATGGCGCGCCTGCACCGCATAGGAGGCCAGCAGCACCGACGTCTCCGGCGGGCAGTAGATCTCATCGGTCAATATGGCATTCTTCACTTGCAGATAGAACAGGCGCAGTGTGATGTCCTGTATGAGCTCCTCGGCCACATCCTCCGGATAGAATTTGGCACGGAATCTGAATTGCAACGGATTCTCCTTTTTCACATCCTGATTCATGACCTAAACACACGAATGACAATAACAGAGATTAATATACAGGCAATACTGATGCATTCTCTTATTCATTAAACATATTTCATATATTATTTGGCACATTATGGGTTACCCATGTTGAGAACGGCATTGATCCAGTCTGTGCGATTTGGTTTGTGCAATCGTTTCAAATGTGTGCAGCATGTTTCAATAGAGAATCAATCAGAGATCAATAATAATAATTATACACATATTCAGTTTGTATTCGTTCGACAACTCTACAGAGCTGGGGCAGGGATCGTTGTTGGCATGCAGGGTTTTCTCTACAGACAATAGATTATGGGAACGTCAACTAAAACCTTAAGCTAGACCTAGACCTAGCTGGGAAAAGGGTTTAGCTAAGGCCACAAATAGCAATAAACATTTGCTGGGAATTGATTGATTGGTTTTGGCTGTGATATGTCGCCCACCATATCGTCGGCATCATCATCTTCCTCGCTCTCGTCCGTCTGATTGTGTCCATTGCTATCAGCGGTCTTTTTGTCCACATATTTCTTAACACGTTTCAAATATTTAATGGTCTTTATGGCCGGCGATTCTGGCTAAACAATACAATACGTAACACCTCATTATTCTCTAAGCAGTTAACAATATGCTCGGGGCGTATTAGAAACATTGGCAAAGATATTCATTTGTATATTCGGTATATAGTTGTGTATATTTGTAATGCTTACCTTTTTGTATAGCTTAATCCATGTGGAGTCACCCTTTGAGTCGGTGTACTGCAGACCAAAGAACCAAACCTCACGCAATCCAATCGTCTTGACCACCTGATCGAACAGTTGTTTACCGGTCGTTGTCGACTGAATGGCAAACTCCAGTTCAGCGTCCATTGTTGTGACGCGCACATTTAGCTACAAGTAGGAAGAGAATTTATATACAAATTAAAATTCATTGTTTAAGCTAGGAGATCGTTTATATTTGACTAGGTCTTTCTCATATACATATATCTCTAATCTGCAGATTACCTTAACCCATAATCTATTATCGATATTTATCGATTTCTTATTGTTAATTTGTGAGTTAATTATTCCAATTTATCATAATCATTTCATTTACAACAACTGTTTGTTTGTTCATTAAACCCATTTGATCTCTGGTATGCTATCGATATTCTTGATGAATGTCTATGCCTTTCATGTCGTAATTATAGTCCTCTATCAGAGTTCACGTGTCTGCTTCATGTGCTTTCTCTCCCCTTTCTATGGGTTTCACCTGCCTCGTCCACTTTTTCCACTCTGCTGACGTTAAGCTCCTCTCACCCACGCGCTGACCGAATTGGTCAAGTGACACACAAACACAGAAAGAGTCTCGCTCTTTCGCTCTCTCTCCCACTCTCGCTCTCCCTCTTTATCTGTCTGCCTCCATGAGCCCATGTGACTGACTGCATGTCCGCTTGTATAACGTTGACTTCTCTGCACACACTCACACTCACACTCACACTCACACACACACACACATTCGGAACAGCCAGTCAATCCATTTACTATAAACGTCTGATGTTGTTGCTGTTGCTGTCATGCTTGATTGCTTCTTTTTGTTGTTGCCGTTTTCCGAGCGTGATTTTCCTAGGCAGCTTTTCCCGGCCAGCCGTAATTAGCAGACACGTGCACTTCTCACATGTTTGGCGACTTTTACTTCCATAATCCTCCTTTGACACTTGCCGCGCTCTCTCGCACTACCAATTGCAATGCGTGCACTAATTCGCATTAAATGATCAATGAGCGATCGATTGTTGGAGATTCCTGTTATCGATGCATTCTCTTCTCTAATATGAAAGCAATTTAATATTGACTGATTTTGTTTATATAAATTGACTAACTTTATTACAGTTCTAAGTTTAATTGGCAATAACATCTCAACAACAACTTTGTTATCGATTAATTACAACTTTAGTTGTGTGTAAGAGCTTACTTGTTTTATGGCAATGTCTTAAATATCTGAGTGCAAAATTGGAATTCAAGAGCTGAACGTGATTCCCAACTGTAAACCGCAAATAGCAACCACAATTTTGTGGCTTTGTGGCGTTCATTAAGAGCGATAATAATGTTATCGATAGCAACGTTTTTGTAAGCTCAATAAATTTATAAAGTTTTTTCGTTATTTGCCTAGACGTTTCCAATTCTTTTTGATTTTTTTTTTTGCATATGTTTTGCTACGCATTTTAACGTGTTTTTATTTGTCTCTATTATTTTTTTTTTTTTGCTATTTTGTCTCTTTGTTGTTGTTTTTTTTAGTGCATTTTGTCGCAATGCAAATCAAACGTGACACAATGCAAGGAAATTGAAAACGTTCATTTCAATCCAATTAACGTTTTTGGGTTAATGCATGTTGTTGCTGGTGCTGCTACTGCTGCTGCTGCTGCTGTTGCTGTTGTTGTTGTTGTTGTCATGTGTATGGTACGTGCATACGAGCATAGCTCACTCATTGGCCCCACTGTGCAAGCGAGTGTGGCAACGGAAACAGCCGCATAACCAACCAGTTGCCATCTCGCCTCCCAACTCTAGCTTCTCACCCCTCTCTATCTCCCTCTCTCCCTGCTGCTGCAGCTGTAGCATGACAAATTGCTCTCAGCTATGCCAAAATGTTGACGTTACTTATGCATACATATATTATTCGACTCTAGTTGTTTCTGTCAAGCCGGAAACCATAAAAATGCATCACAACAACAACAACAAAACTAACACGAAAATAACTGTGCAAAAGTCGTATATTTCATGTAAATGCTGCTTTGAATTATTCAATAAATTCGTCATATTTTATATAACTGCAAGTTCCATTGATAGTTTGTCACTAATGTTTAATGACACATTGACTGAATAGCAGTTAAAAATATATAAATATTAATGATTCATATAGATATTAATTATAATGAAATTCTCTAAGAGATTACTGAGAAATACTTTAGTAAGCAAAATTATCTATCAAATATATATTTGTTATATTCTATTTTTAGATTTTAATTTTTAAACAAATATGAATAGCTTGACTAATTTGTGCATATCGCGAGATAAGATAAGATCACAATATCTTTATAAATATTGATATATGTACATATTAATACAAATAACTGTATCTATCAACTGTCCACTGTTCAAGCTAAAGACACGTTTACATAGCCTAAAACAAGCTAAAGAATTCCTTTAACGTGTGGAAGAACAAGTTTATCTCTCATTTATATGCTAATTTCTGGTATTTTCATAATACAAAACTGTAAAGAGAAAAAATGAATTATAGAGAACACACAACACCAAGATCAAAGAGCAGAGTGCTGAAACTCTTGACAGTATAAGCCCTGATAAATCGGATATCAAGAAATTGCAACTTTTCTAGGTAGAATATCGAGAAAATTGAACTAAAACATTGCTAAGAAATCCAAGAACTCGAACTTAAAAGTGCTATACGAATTCCATTAAGTTTTTATTGGAAATCCAGGAATAATTAATCTATGAAACCATTTCACAAATTCAGAAATTCGAATTAGAACTCTTGACAGATTTAGAATACATGTTAAATCAAATTTGAATTACAATAAAGAGCTCTAAATTCCAGCAATTCGCATTATTTCCTACACAAATAATCGCATACAAATACAAAATTCACTTAAAAATCCATATTTTTCAAAACTCTCATTATACTATTTAGTATTTCTAGTAAAATAACACTCATAATATTTCATAGAGCAATAGCTTTAACTTTCAAATGATATTCTGGAACTGAGTCGTATCCAATTAGTGAACGACAACTGGCAGTAATAGCCTAGGCAAGCTTCAGTACACTACGCCCCCATCGCCCCCACCACAAGGGTATTTCAAGGGGATAGATATGGAAGCTTAGAGCAGGCTCAACGCACCATTTTACGCTTAACGCTGCCGCCATAGCGCGAAAGACGCGCTCGACTGGTATCGGAGACGACGACCATTTTGGACGGCCAAGCGTTTTTCAGTAGCCTTTGAATAGTTACAGAGTTTTGGATGGCGCGTAATGCGCACACACATATATCACACACAGACACAGACACACACACGTACGCACGCACACTCGAGTAGCGAACGAAGTAGCAATATAAAAAAAAATGAAACGTAAATCGTAGAAAATTCCAATGCGCGTCGTTCTGCTGCCCAGCGTCAACTGAGGGAAATGGAAAAGCGACTCTAGGCTTTTAACTTAACTTAATGCAATGGCATAGTCGAAGAGACCCCAGGCCCCGATGCCAGATCCAATCGGGGCTGGTGGGTCTTAGGTGAAGGTAGACAGAGCAGGGGCACCCACGTCAGAGCTCAACAACTGTTCAATTTCAGACGGCAATACGGCAATACGGCAATAATGTGCCGCTCTCTGAACGACAAATGCTAGATTTATATTTTCATTTTCCCTCTGCTTCCATTTTAGTTCTTTTGCAATTGTATGTTAATTATGCAGCCAAAAATAGACACTGAGAAATATATAGAAACATACATATAGATCTATATATGCTCGCATGCATACAGTTAGCTGTGCTTTCTCTAAACCCACCTAACCCCACTTCCCCCCCTATCCGCACTTGGCTGACCAATCAATGGACAGCCATCGCGTTCGGAGAGGCCCGGCCTGGATAAACAAATCAACGTCAATCATACGACGCGTTGGCTGTCAGTCCTATTAGAGCTGCAATTAGCCAAGCCCATTAAGGTAAATACATCAAGCACAAAACTATGAAGGGGCATACATTATATTTGGAAACCTATTATTTTCACCATTTTATTAGCATTCACGAATAGTGCCTCCTCAAATATCATTCATCATTCGAGCTCTAGGTTCACATTAAACTATCTCCATTGTCTTACGAATCGCTTCGCATTCAGGAATGCAATTTGCATATAGAAAAGAACCCAAAGTGGAAGAGGATAGGAGTAGAAGACGTTTAAGTTTAAGAATATATTATGTGTTTATCTTTGGTAATTATTGTTAGATTTCTCTTTCTCTCGCTCTCGTCTTCTTTTCATTATCTAATTTCAATTCTTTGATTCGCTTTTCTATTTATCTATGTCGTTATGTTATCTTTCTCATATGATCTCTCTCTTTCTTTAGCTCTTTCTCTCTTTTCTCTTCTATCCTCATTTCTCATATTCTCTCAATCTTTCCTCATCTTTCTCTCTCTCTGTCTCTCTCTCCCTAAAATTTGTAAGATCTCAAAATTAATAATAAAAAAAAAACAATATCTGAATCACTTCATGATTTATAATAAAAAGTAAACTACACAGAATATATACATTTAGATAAATGCTTATATATGGGGCAGACAAAACCCCAATGTACTATATCTAATGAATCAACCGTTTTAGATAGTCGCAAAAGAAGATGACACTGAATGCATGGACTGATTTATTGTCTGTCCTGTTCGCTGTCAATCAAATGAAATGAAATCGAATCRAATCGAGGCAAATCAGTTTTCAGTTTTCAGTCGTCAGCTGATATCGACAGTCAGCGCCATCACAAGACGGCTAGCACAGACGCCAATGGGTCAAGTGGGGATTGTGGGGACTTTTCTGTATTATGACGTCGTCCACAAATCTTTGACGTCATCAGACTAGTTTCAACTTTTCTTTTTAATAGTTTGGCGCATTGCCAGAAGTAGAAAACGCCGGACTTTTTTTTTGTTTCTGTTTTTGATTTGCTAGTTCAATGACGCTGCAGCTGACGATGACGTCTTTCATATTTTTCTACTTTTTTTTTTTTTTGGCTTCTGCTGTCAATCATTTAGTGATAAGAAAGTACACACTCGTCGCCGTCGTCTTCCTCTTCTACCTCTTCTGCGATTCTATTTGCAGCAGTATCTGTGTGGCCACAAAGTGCTTGATAATCTATCAAAATTTACAAGCAGGTTTCGATTCGCATGCTATTTTGGTTTTCCTTTATCAGCTGCAGCTACTGCTGCTACTGCTCCAAACACAAAATGAGTTTTTCATTAATTTGATTGCTGCCCCTGATTGATTGCATAACGATTCAAATTCAATTTGATATCACAATTGTGCATACCGAAAACAATTTCCGATAATAATGTTTTATGTATCGCAAATTTGATTTGAGTAGATTTTCGTGTCATATTTCAGCTCATTTTGTTAAAAGGATTTCATGTTTGATGTTCTTCCGTACGTAAGGTGGCAACGCTTTGAGTGGATCTTTCATTTTTATTTGATGTATATTTAAATTATGGTATAAAATTCCTATTTTTCTTGACTTTGACAATCTTACTTTATCTTTAGCTTTTCTTCCCCGTAAGGTGGCAACGCTTTGTCAGTCTGAATTTCACTTTTAGAGAATATAGATTTGATCTTCAAATTCTTATTTTACGATTGTATTTGCTCTACATTTATACCATCTATATTCAATGTTGTATTTTCTCCTTTGGGGATGGCAAGGTGGCAACGCTTAATATTAATATTTTAGCTATTATAACATATTGTCATAAAAGGTTAAAACATTTCCTTTTAAATACTAAATTTTACTTAATTTAAATAATTTATTCCATTTGACATGGATGCAATATAACAACAATATGGCAACGCTGTCACATATACTCTTTCTTCTCTCTCATTGACCAACACTAAACTTGATTATACTTCTAGCTAAGCTTCACTACAACAAGCCGAACTTTTGGTAGCATTATCTCAGCTAGTTTTATAGCTTAATAACTTTGACCCACTATCAAAAATTGATCATTATAAGCTTTACTTACCGATTTGGGCGACATTTTGCTGCTTGTCTATCCTCACCCCGTTGTTGTTAATGGAAATTGTTGGGGACGTCTGTGTTGTTGTTGTTGCTTTCGTGTTTTGCTAATTGTTYAGACTGCAATGAGAATTGGTTGTAAGATAATTGATTATTAATGCTTAAATAAACAAAGTAGTTAGCATTAAATAATAAAATACGTAGGAACTAGTTTGGGCCAATTGGTTAAAGTTCTTGGCCAGTTGCTTTCTGCACGCGTCAGGCGACTGCAAATGGAAAGCTCACGATCATAATTCTTATATATAGGAACTGTTTTGTGCACACACACACATATACATAACACTTGGCTCGTTTTGCTATATCTGGCATATAATATTCGTTTATTTCTGATTTCACCTGGCACTTTGACAACCCTTTAAAACAGCGAGTATTTCATTTCGGTTTCCTTCTAATTAACAAATCGTGTGCACAAAAATTAACTCAAATTTATTTATTTATTTTTTTCAACTCAAGCACTTGAGAACTGTAGATAACATTTTGTCAACGGAAATGCAAAACAATTAAAATGAAATATAGTAAAATAAAATGCCAAAAAATGTTTAGATTACGACTGCGTATAAAGTTCTCCACTTATCGTCATAAAAATATATAAGAATTTTAATAAGCTGAGCTTTTTTATTGACAGCGACCCAGCGGAGGAGCCCTTGAACCCAGTTACAGGAAACCCGTAAGACCAACTATTTGAATTTGATTTGAAAAATCACTTAAAAATTCTTATTAAATTGTTATTATTGTTGTTGTTGTTGTTGTTGTTGATTGTAAAAACCTGTGCCTGCCATAATGAAAATTCAATTGACTTTTTGACACCTGACATTTTGTAAGCGCTTTGAAAGCAATTGTGACGTCACACGGCAGAGACGCCATCTTCATTTGATTTACGAAGCAAATATGCTGTGTTTACACACACACACACACACACACGCACACACTGTATGCTTGCTGAAACTGGCTTGAACAAACGGTTTCCGTCGAAATGCAAATTAATAATCATTAGCTGCAAAGGCAAAAGACATTCCAAAGTTTCGATTTTTATACCCTGAACCCATTGAAAATGGGAAATCAGGGTATAATGGTTTTGTGAAAAGTATGTAACAGGCAGAAGGAATCATCGCAGACCCCATAAAGTATATATATTCTTGATCAGCACGACGAGCTGAGTCGATATAGCCCTGTCCGTCTGTCCGTCCGTCCGTCCGTCCGTCCGTCCGTCCGTCCGTCCGTCCGTCCGTCCGTATGAGCAAAAGAATCTCAGAAGATATAAGAGCTAGAGAGCTGAAATTTGGCATGCATACTCGTGTATACCATAGGCAGTACAAGTTTGCTTTATTTTTTCGATAACTCGTCCGATAACTTTTTTATCGAGAATAATCGAAAAATCGACTTGGTTTTTTCAGCATAATTTTAACACTTTTAGACCTGGAGACTTCATATTTGGGTTGTATATAAAGTTAGTGGATACAAAGATTTTGTAATTTGCAGATTTTGGATACCACGCCCCCTTCTCCCCCAATTTGTAAAAGTACTAGTACTAGTACTTTTCAAGTACTAGAGACTTGTGCTTTGGAATGGACACACATTTTAGCTACATGATTACGCTCTAAAAGTTTTATTAGGATCGTATGTCTACAAAAGAAATTATTCAACAAATAAATTCTCACACTGCAGTGCAGCCCAAGCGCAGCCGCTGCTAGCTGCGCAGTTTGCAGAGCGCGTGCTTATACGTGCATGTGTATGTATGTGTGCATAAWAGAAGTCCAGAATGATTAGAATWTCAGTTTGGAGGGTTCAGGGTATCTCCTAGTCGAGCAGTCTCGACTGGAGCCTTCTTACTTGTTTTATTTATTTGTTGTTGTTGTTGGGTTTGCACAAATTATGACATCATGCCTACTTTATTATCGCTTCTGCGTGAACTTCGAGTGTACACAAATACATATACACCACAATATCTACACCAACACACACATATACAGACTTGAAGACATAAATAATATATGAAGTTATATTACACTGTTTTAGTTGTAGACATTCATGAGTCTTGTCGCTTTGTCTGCTTAGTTACACGAAATATTTCCGAAATTCCAAAGAGGTATGTGATAAAAAGCAACAACAAATTCTCTATAATTCAATAGATGAGTGTTGATAAGTATTCAAGTTTTAGCATTTGCCTTTTTCTCCCCGATCGAACATTAATCAGATTTTGTTGTCTGCTCTGATAAGAAATTCAATTTCAGACCCAACAATTGGCGGTTGTAATAGAATCATGATAAAGCTCTATGTATACTATCAGTACTATCATGACAGTGTTGGTAAACATACATACAAATGATTTACAAGTAGAAACTATATGGAATAAATATATTGTCATACATAGAGTATTCCATTAACGTTGGCTTGACTTTCCAGTTACTTCTTATTTTTGTTTTTTTGCTGTTAATTATTATTTATTTGCCTTCAAGTCAAGGGGGCCAAACAGTAAATTTGAAATGAGCTCATATTATTTTATTTTTATTTATTTTATTTTTGTATTTATTTTTTTATTGTGCCAGCTGTAAATGAGCGACAAATTCTTTCAGGTTGAATCAAGAGTTGAGGGCCAAAACGTGTCGTCTATTGGCAGATGAATCATACAAATGCCAAGTGAGTACAATCTGCCTCTCTCCCTCTCTATCACACACACATACACAGAGTAAGCTGTTAGCAATGCATCCTGCCTTAAATCAACGTATGCGTCATTTCCTACTTCAGTTGATTGCTATTTGATTTAACTTTATTATGCTTTTGCCTAATCTGTGACTGTGATTTCTTTATTCTCGTACAGCAAAGAGTGAGAGTAAGTGATAGCGACAGAGAGAGAGAGCGAGAGAGAGAGAGTAAATCTAGCTAGGGCTTTCAAGTTCGCCGCCAGAAACGGAAATGAAAATGATTCAGCGAAAATGCATAGTTATATAGTTATATGGCTTTACACACAATAGTTCAACAGTTGAAGTTCAGCTTAAGTTATCGATAGCGCTGCATGGCCCATAACTGTCCAGCTGGGGCTATGGCTAGTTATATTATGTTATGCACACGTTTACATAATCTCCGGAGTTATGGGGTTAACCCACGCGCAACATTTGCTCATTGTTTTGTTTATGTTTAATATCCATTAACTGCATTTAATGAGTTCAAGCTAAAAGCAGCAGGGCAAAAATCACGTTTTCGTTTACGTTTACGTTCAGTGCTTGACCACCGGAACCGCAAGAGAAAAGCACGCACATACACACACACACTCACACAGACACATACAGAAATCTGAGCTTACTATACACAGGCAAATGAGCACGCAGCTAATGAGATTTTGAGCGCTGAGCGGCGCACGCAAAGAGAGCGACAAGAGAGCAAGGCAAGGCAAGGCAAGACAAAGCGACGCTACGCGGCGAATCCCTCGCATTGCGTATGCGCAACGAGTGGAAGCCAAATAACTACATAAAAGCGAAATGACAACAACAGCAGCAGAGGCAGAGGCAGCAGAAGAAGTAGCCGCAGTCGCAGCGTGTGCCGTCATATTTTTTTTGCCATTCGCTTTTACTTTTCATTTACATTTGGTGTCGTAAAACAAGCATGAAAATAATAATAATAAATAATCATCAAATAAATAGACAAAACAATTTCTGCGCCAAACTTTTAATTTCAACAATTATGCGTCTTTTCATGCCGCGTTGATTTAGCGCAAATCCCAATCGCACGCTCTTTCTTCATCTTTCATTGTGTGTGCGCGATAGTGTATGTATACGTGTGTATGTGTGTTTTTTTCTTTTTGTGTGGTCAATAATTAAAATGGGGCAATCAAGCGTACCAATGAATCGCTGACCAAGTAAACTGTTTATTTTCGCATACCCTGTAAACAATGAGCAACTTAAGTGGCATGCGGGGTAAGAGTGGCTGATAATGGCATAGTTAATGGCAATTGATTAAATGTATATTACTATAATCAAAGAGATTCAGTTAACTTGGGTAAATTTTTGTGTATTACAGGGCATTGCCTAGTCGCATACTCCAGCTTAAGCACTTCTCGTTTTGTTTTGTGAATGAGTAGAGGTAAAACATAGGGCAAAGAGTCAAACAAGCAACTTAGCAACAAATGTTAATTACAGGTTCAAAACTATATTTTTAGAGCAGCTGTTAATTATACCTGTGTGTGTTTCGATACAAATTTTTATTTCTTCTAACTTGGCCTTTTAATGTGTAGATATATATATACATACATATATACATATGTAGACAACATTGGAATAAGATAGACGCATTAAGTATACAAATGTGACAATTTAATGAAGCAAATTAAGGCTTAAATGTTCTTGATAGCAAACAAATGGTATGCGCGCACGTAAAGAAAATAACAGCAGCCAAAGCCGAAACAACAAAAGGCAACTGTCAAAAGTTCGCTTTATATACAAATGACAGCGAGTGCGAGCGAGAGAGGGAGWGCAAGATATATAGACAAGACGACGGCAGCAGCAGCAGCTGCAGCAGCAGCAACAACATCAGCATGGTGGGTGTAGAGCAATGGCGGTGGGTTAGAGATGGGAGAAAATAAAAACATCAACGCGACCATAATTAACAGCGACACGCAAATACAAACACACATACAACAACACTCACACACATACACCTCAACACTTATGCATATCTATGAAGCTGAGTGCGTTTGGCATATTTCGAATAATTTCTTTTGACATTGCGCCTCACTTGGCGCATGATTATTTTAATTGCCAACATATAGCAGCAATTAGTTATACATGTACACATATATACTTACGCACATGTATACACAATCATACACTCAATGTTATTATTCATAATTTAAGTATCAAATAAATGAAAGCGAATTGGCAATAAAGCGCTTAAGAACTTCATAAATATTTGCTATGCCAAAAAGCTCGCTCTCTCGCACGCTACGCTGAAAACAAAAAGCTCTCTCCCATAGCTCACTTGAGCACCGTTAGTTAGTCACTAAGCTGGATCTTCGCTTGGCTTTGCTAATTGTTTTGGTCAATTTGGCATGCAAAACACACAAACAA